GTAGATTATAATATTTAACTGGTTATAAATAAGGCTCATAAAAACATATTAAACATCCACTCAAACACCTTAAAAGAATTGAAATTTTAGTAAAACCTGAATTTTGAACCAGTTTTATTGGAAGAAGTACTTTAATTGAAGGAATACATCTGTGGAATATTCTTGAGATTGATGTTAAAACTGCTGGATAAGTTTGTAYATTTAAGAGAAATATAAAGGCTAGTTTGATGAAGAAAGATGATTTATATCTGTGTGACATAAATTGTTGTGTAGGAAGCATCTGATATTGATTTTTGTTTCAATTCAGTTTTTTGGAAAAACAAAGAGCAAATATAAAAGCAATATTTTCTTCTTTCTGGTTTATTTTATTAAATTTATGACTTGAGGTTGGTTTTTTATTGTATATAAATTTTATTTTGTTTATTTTGATGAATCAATGAACACATTTTTAAAAATGCTTAAAGTTCGGGGAATTAAAAACTAAAATACAGATGTTCAGTGTCTTCAGTTCTTCGTTATGAACAGAAAATGAAATGAACAAAATTGGAGACGATTCTTGGCTTTTCTGAACAGATTCTTTCACCACGGCAGCTGTTGCTCAACATTTTTGTGAGAAAATACAAAAAACAAACCAAAAAACATATATATTTCTTGGGCAATCAGACCTGGTGATGTTTCGAGGTRCAGAGATGTCTGTGAGGTTTCTGATTCAGTTATTCTTGAGAGTGAAAAACTTGTCTGTCAGTAAAATTAAAGTGTTTTACTCTGTTTGGAATGTCCTGCTCTTGTTTTTATTAGATGATTTAGCACCACCTGGTGGACACACAGGAGCATTACACCTGTGTCTCTGTCACCATTCTGATGAGYTCATTTAATGCCTGAAGACAGACCTGACAGGAACACAAATGAGTCATCTCTACAGGGCTTAAAGTTCTCCGTCGCCACGGCAGATTTTCGTCAATTTGAACGTGGCCAGGATGGATTTCTGTCATCTGTGAGGAAGGAAAACAACTCTAGTTGTTTTCTGTTGCAGTCTTGTTAAAGCCGTCCAGTCTACCCCTAAATGCACCACTACTTTCAACAAATGAAACAAACCCCAGAGCACTTTTATCCAATCAGAGCAGAGCGGGTCAGTAAAGCAGCAGGTGAAGCAGTCTGCAGGAGCAGAGCAGCGGTCAGTCAGAGAGTGAAACCTCTCCTCCCTCATGTCCTCCTCTGCTGCCGGGGTGGTGTGGTGTGTCGGAGGGAGTGCAGTCAGCTTTGGGGTCCGGAATGATCCGGGGGACAGAACACTCGTCTGTGAATTYAAATAGAAACAGTTAACCAAACAGAAATGAAAAGACATTCTTCCTGTTTTGTTTTGGACCAAAGTCATATTTTAACAGTTTATTTTTTTGTCTGAACTTTACATTGCTACATGTTGTATCAGCTAAATGTGAGTTTGCATGTACATCATGAAACTTTACTTTTTACAAAGTCATTTATTTAGAACATTCACAAATGTTTTCATGAATGTTAGCTTGTCTAAGTAAGCTAAAGCTAGCTGTCACTTAGCCTGGTCCTTGCCTTCCTACGCAGCTCCGCTCAATTCTAGTTTCCTTCTCTGCTCCGTCTGGGACTTCTCCCATTCAGATGGAATTCACTGGCAGATTTTTGGCCGAACCAATCAGAGAACAGAACGTCAATTTTCTGCGCAGTGTCTGCTTGTAGTTTATTTTACCTGGGCCAATCAGAGAACAGAAGGTGGAGGTTTTGAATGACGTCGTGTTCTGCTAGTTATTTTAGCATACAGCAGTGGAGGAAGTGAATGAAGCCAGTCCGTGTTGATAAGGCTTCATATTAAAT